GGTCGACCAATTGAAATCCTTAGATGAATACCTATAGAAACCAATTTATTACTCCAACAAAGCCGGCAACATATGACGGTAATAGGAATAACCCTCTATTAAAACATTTTATATAAAATGCATTATGAAGTAAAATACTCTTTTAAAAATAAAACTTATTACACTTGCTGCTATATTAAGGGTGATCCTGTGATACATATTTGAAATGCATATTTTAAAGACATATACATATTGTTCTAGAAATCATTTTAAAAAGCACAGTTCTCAGGTCTTTTGTATAAGGCCTTGTTCACACCAAGCACGTTCCAGGTGCAGAGCAGTTACAGACCGGATCAAAACTGCGTTCAATGTATTCCAATGGTATTTTGGGCTCTAGTTCACACCGCAGCGTTCAGTTCCAGAGCATGTAAAAAAACTGCAGCAAGCCCTATTTTACCTGTTCTGGAACGCATGCAAACGCATCAAAACGCATTCAAACGCACTGGAACACACTGAAAGTCCATTTTAAACAAAAATAATTTTTTTATTTTTAACAAAAACGTCCCTGAACGCAGCAAAAACACGGCACAAACCACTGCACTGCGTGTGCAGAAACTCATGTAGATCTGCTCTGAATTTGGTGTGAACAAGCCCTAACATGATGGAGCGTGCACATCGTTACCAAGTAAAACAGACACAAGCTGTTCTCACGTTGGATGCTCAGTAGAAAGCCCTGCCTAGTGCAGGGAGCTCCCTTTATTTATAGGGCACAAAGGGATAACAGCAGGAAAGGATGGCCACAACAGCCAATCAATTCCTCAATACATTTACATAACAGTCAGCCAATAAGTATACATTTGAATAGACAATAGAAAGGGGAGTATATGTTCATGAACGTGCACAGTGATTTCTAGCATTATCCATAGGGGGATATTAGTCGTCCGGTGACTAAGTGTTATTTTTAAAGGAGTATTTTACTGACAGGTAGGCTCCCCATTAGTGGCTCTGATAAAGGTAGCGTGCCCCAGAAACGCGTACCGGAGGTACCGTGAGGTAGCAAGCCAGCTGACGGATCAGTGTCCTCCGTGCTCTATGTTATACCAATCACTTCCCCTCCAGATTTAGGAGCATTATACTTGTTTTCTTTCATCGTTTTTGAGTATGGTTTTATCATTTGATTTTTTCTATTAAAAAGGATTCTGCACACATCGAGGTGATCTGTGCATTATTTTAGATTTCAAGTTAAGGTTCCCTATCCTTTGGAGGAGCTGCATGGGGTGTGTGGGTCGTTTGTGGATTATATGACCTAGGAGAAATTCTATTATCCAGCTGTCAATGATCGTGGATCGCTGATGACAGAGGGGAAGGAGCTCTCTCTCTCTCTCTTCAGCATTTACTACAAATGGGAAAGTCCATATATGGTAAATTATGTCACTGGAGATCCCTGCTGATCGGATCCGATGTCACTGGACATCGGATCCGATCAGCAGGGATCTCCAGTGACATCATTTACCATAGATGGACTTTCCCATTTGTAGTAAATCCTGAAGAGAGAGAGAGAGGTCCTTCCCCTCTGTCATCAGCGATCCACGATCATTTTAGTATGTCAGTGTCAGCAGGGAGAGAGAGAGGGGGGAAGGAGCTGGCACACGGGGACGTGCAGGTAAGGAGAGAGCTGCTGCGCATGTCCATATATTCGTGGACGCGCAGCAGCTCTCAAGAATCACTGTCAGTCATCAGTGGGGAGGATCCCGTCAGATATGTCGGGATGTCTTCTCATTGCGGCGCTTAGCCCCGCCCACAACCTTAAATAAGGGTTTACAGCCTTACTGTGCATTATGGCTAATTAGAGTAAATTACATTATTTACTTATTTAGCCTAAGGAATGCATTAATAAAAAAAAGATAAAACCCCATAGTTCTCCTTTAAAACCCCCAAACATTATATATTTTCTGAAAGCCAAGACCCTATAGAATAAAGTGTCGGCAGCTGCAAATGTTTATGTTGCACGAAATTAGCGTAACTTATTATCAAACCCAAAAATTTTGTGAAAAATGCACTTAAAGTGACATTAAAGGATAAATTTTTTTTCCCTGTTAATGTCAGCACTTACCTTAAATGATGTCTCTTAATCCGATCTTCCTCTTCTTTCCTGATGTTTTCATCTTTCCCTCCAGCGGTGCGGCGGCTCTCCGATCCAGCGCTGACTCCTCTCTGCTTGCAGGCACTTCTGATCCAGCGGTGTCTGCACGCGTGTGCACGTGTCTATATACTTACCTTGCGTCTCTGCTCGTCTCCCAGCCGAGAATCCGAACTGCACATGCGCCCGCCCCAAGATGCTTTGCGGCTGTATGAACAGTTTCGGATTCTCGGGAGGGAGCGCGCAGCGAAAACAAGGTAAGTTTAAACCGCTGTTAAAGCGTTTTTTTTTTTTTTTTACAACTTTTTGCGTATATCTACTGCTTGATAGCAGTAGATATAGGCAAAAAAAACCGGAGGGTTTATAACCCCCTTTAAGTTAAATTTAGTGCCCCAAAACACAATATAAAACCATTTTTTTGTAAAATATAAAAGATGAGGTTACAAAGAGTAAATAGATACCCAACATGCCCAGGTAAAAAATTGTGTGCATCCGTGAAACTGCAACATAATTCAGTACCCAAAAAGTCCATGACGCTTTAAAAGCCCCCAAAGGTGATCAGTTTAGAGATACTTGTAAATATTGGCCCTAGAATTATTGCTCTCACTCCGGCGTACATGGCGATACCAAACGCGTGTTTACGTGACAACGCACATGCTCGCAGGGGCGGGTAACTTAATTTTTTTTTTACATTTTATTTATTTAACCACTTGAAGACCAGGTGTTTACCCCCCCTTCCTGGCCAGGCTATGTTCCGCCGGCTATCGCTTGTATGTAAACAGGCATCGCTGCCTGTTTTAAAATTTTGGCACTTTCACGCTCGCGCGCCATGCGTGAGTGGGCGTGGCTGACGGGACGTTTAAAAACGCCCGCTCAGATCTAGGGAGCTCCCGGCCGGCTTTTTACAACGGCCAGTCGGGAGGCGGTTGTTAATATTTTTAAAACTGTTTTTTTTTTTACTTTACTTTAATTGCGATCACATAGGGGAGCTTACAAGCCCCCCATGTGATAGCATATTGCCCATGACAGGAACTCTTTCAGGTGATGTTTGGTACAGGAAGTGATGCAATACGCATCGCTCCCGGTCCCATATTTGGGGGAGGGGATAGGCGAACACCGACACCAAGCAAGCCGGTCCTGGACCTGTAGGAGGGGCAGCAGAGCCCAGGAAACAAGGCTGGGTTGTCGGGCGGTGGGCACCCAGGTTAGCGGATCGTAGAAGCTATCTGGCGGCAGCTGAGCCACCAGAATTGCTTCTATTTTAAGGGCCTGTTCACACGACGTCCACTTTCTGTGCTGACGTGATCCGTACGCTCCTGCACTAAAAATGCATCCCAATGTATCCCTATGTGTTTTATGGGCTACAGTTCTCACGTGCGCAGTCCGTTCAGGTTACGACAGAAAAAATACTGCATGTCATATTTTGTCCGGTCAGGAAACGCAAAATGCGTCAAAAACGCACTGCCTTGCAGCTAACATACTCACCAACAATAACAAAAAACAGCTTAGAAACACCTGATATTTGTTTACATTAGAAAGTTGGAAGGCTGCCAAGACTCTGACACAATAGAAAATAATAGGAAAAAAAGATTTATGTGCCTCTGTTGAAGTGTGAAGATTAATTTTTCTATGCCTATAGAACTGAATTAGGTATTATTTTAAGGGGGTTTTACTGTTTGTTCATAAATACAAGTGTGCATAGTCTGAAATTTTACTTCCACTGAGGTTGTATTTAGAAAATGTATAATTAATGTGTATAAAACTCTAAATGGCAGAGGGATATGGGCACAAAAATTGCTAGATGCCAGATGCATATAAATACTATTTGGCACCAATTAATGTAGCTAGTATCTTGGAATGTCAGGTTCTGTTGGACACGATCTACACTACAGTAAATGAGTGACACCTGGGAGCAAATTAGGGAATTCTGTGACAGCCAAGAAATTCTGATATTTCTTGAGGTCATATATAATTTAGGCAATTTTTTGGTACATTATTTGGCATAAACAATATTTAGTTTGTAATATTATTTAGCATTTTATTGTTGGATTTAGGAAGATTGCACGGGCACCTAGCAGTATAAAAGGGACTGTTAAGGTGCCCATACACCTTACAACCATGGTTGTAAGGTAATTTAAAAAACCTACGATCTGCCCATCTTGGACAGGCAGATCGTACTTCCAATGACCGCAATGCTGAACGGGCAGTGTGCGCTTGCGCACACCGGCCCATGTGGCATTTATCTTACAAGAACGCCACAAACCAGCCGAAAATTTTATGTTTTCCGGCCGGTTTTCGAACATGCTCGTAAGACGAAAGTCGTGCGATCGTACAGTAGAAACGGTTGCACACCTTCCATACACCTTGCGATTATCGTACGATAATGGCAAGGTGTATGGGCACCTTTAATAGCATTTGCTGATTTATAAATATATAGATGTATACACACACACACACACACACACACACACACACACACACACACACACACGAACCCTGGAAGGAAAAGCACCTGTCACACATTATCCTGCATGAGGAAGATGTGAAAGCGATGGCTGCTTTGCTTAAGAGATGGAGATGGTGGGCAGGATCACCAAGAACAGCAGCAAGGTAGAATCAGTGTTACATGTTTCTATCATCTTGGAGAAGCAGGCTTGAACTGGAGCTGAACAACGTTACAATATTATAATAACTTGGTAATATTCTGATCAACAGACACCTTCACTTTGGTGTATTTCAATATATACCTACACAATGCCACACCAAGAAATCAGACATTTGCATTAATGACTGGTTACTAAAAAGTTTTATTTCAGATGTTAACATACTATACTATTAAAGTGATAAATACTTTGGTTGCGATGTATTAAATAAACATTACCTTATGAGCCAAGTGAAATAGCAAACGATTCTGGAGACGACTTTTAGGTGCTTAAAAAAAACAAAAAACATTTAAGTTAATAAACAAAATAATATATTTTTAACACTATACCGAAAACTACTAGTATAAAAGAGGTAAACAATATTTACCCCTTATCTAGATTTCACCCTTTCGCTGCCAAGCCCTCCAGAACATTTTGCACCTCAGCTGGCTGGCCACACCATTTTTGCAATTTTTCCCATTCATTTGATTTTCAATTGCTGCGTTGCTAGCGTTTGCAAAAACAAAAACCCAAACCACATATTTTCTGAAAGCGCAGGCTATGTGGGACTCATTCCACTGTGATTATAGGTGGGGAGAGTCTTTTAATTAAGGAGAGACTGATTAATTGCATTATATGTGTTCTGGTGAGAGACAGATGCTTAATACCCTTTTGAAAAAGTTGAGTACGACGAAACGCGTCAAGGACAATATTGGCTCCGTCTCTCACATACAATTGTGCTTATATGGCAGAGTGTTCTTGCCACTTAAACGGTTTTTTATTCTCTGAATCTTGTAAGTGCAGAAAAAGCTTTGCTTATAATAAATGTTTTAACCGCTGCACTTAGGAGTTTTTTTCTTTGTCTAATTTTTCTCCTCTGCCATCTGGATAAACCCCGGTGGACGGATACCGCGACCTATGCGGTGCATGAGGGGTTAACCGAAGGGGAAGGAAGGATCGATGCTCAACCTGGTCTTTCGGATCCAGAGTAAGGAAATGGATGAGAGAAGATAACAAAAAGGATCGGTGAAGGGACTCTCTCAAAATTTACTTCTTCAGCGGATCCCAGGATAGAACCAGGACAGATAAGTACCATTCTCCCCCACACGCTACTACTCGAAAGTTGGGATGAAATAGATGATTGGTCAATTGACTTTTTCCGGCATCAGGATCGACCCTATGTGAGGACTTATTTGCGGTGACAGGACATTGAATGGACCTGCCGATTTTGGCTTATTGTTTGGAATTATACCCTAGATGTAGGATTACATTCTGGTACTGACTCTCCCTGTAGATTTTGATAGTTAGATCAAGGTATTTAACAGCTGAGTGGTGTAACAGGAGAGCTCCCCCTCATTTGTTTTCTCCGTATTTGATCGTTTTCTCAAATTTTTTTTATATTCACAGGCTTATACAGTAAGCTATATAAAAAATATTTTATTATCACAAGTTCACACTACAACTGTCCCAGACATAAGCGGTAGCTTTACATGCAAACTATTGGAGGAAACAAAACTTAGTCACATCCGTTATTATTTATAGCACTGTATTAAAAGACGATTTGCACATTGTTTCATGGTGTACTAGGACGACAATAGAAACATACAGTGGTTAGAGCGCACTCCTGTAGGACAAACACAGGTGGGAAATGGATCTGCTGGAGGAAGGTGTGCAAAAAACTCCTCAATACAGGGGGAGGAACCCTGTGTAACACAATTCAAGACCAACAAAAAACTCGTTTTTGAGGAGCGCGACTACCTATGATAAGAGTAATGGCCCAATGTGCTGAACTTGGAAAAATGTATAACAGTGTGCAATACAGACAACCAAAACTGATTAGTCATATAAAAGGGGACAAATTGATGACTTACAGTTGGGATGTGAGCCTATATGCCCTGGTGTCTCTCACAGAATGTTCTCCACAGTCTGTTTGATGCGATGTCCACAGCTAGCAGGTGGGAAGAGAGTAGGTGTCTGCCCGGACCGGAGTGGGAAAACGAGGTGTCAGCCGATGTCACAAACTCAACTGGCCAGGCTGAGCCGCGGCGGCTGAGACGGGAAAGCAGTGAGCCGCGATCGGCTCCGTAGCCCCGGACTCTATGCGTGTGGTTACAGTACTAGATGTGGCTGTCAGCGGGCTGTCAGCGGAGTGCACAAGGATGGACCAGTGCGTGGGACAGTGAGGGATCTGTACGGGGGGATGGATCTTGCTGCCTGCAGGATACGGCTACGCGTTTCGAGGAGATTTCCTCTTTGTCAAGCCACAGAAAGTTACGAACCGCGGGAAGCCGGTTCTCCACTTTAAAACTGACAGGGGGTTTTGTTTTTTTTTTGTTGGTCATGGTGTAGTAGATCACACACGTTTTTTTCCTTAAACATTTCACTTCCAGAAGGAATCACTTTATTAATTCATCCAACAATCACGAATGTGAGAGAGCACATGCATTAACTCACGGTCATTTATTGGTATATGATACACAGTTGCAATTGTTTATATATGTGGACACAGTTAGTTTCTTAGATCATTTACTTACTCCTTCACTTTATACACCAAGCGCAGCATACTATAGACTTCACTTTGTAGAATGAAAAAAGAAAAATGGTGCTACTAAATTTGTAGGCCCTGTGATAATTGCAAAATATTTCTCAAATTCATATTAAACCGAAAAAAATACACAATTCAATTGATAAAGCACACTAAAAATCAGTATCAGTGCACAAAAAAAAATATTTTCTGACTAAATCTAAAAGATAAAACTGTATTGAGTTAATAAATAACAAATATTTGCACATTTTAAATTGCGCCTTTTTGCAAAAAGGTAAAAAAAAGGTAAAAAATGAAGAAACGCAAAACTGTGTATAAGCGACTTATGTTAAAAATCATTTTTGCGCTGTGTTGGTGTTTGTGTTGTGATAAAATGATACAGACATACATTTAAATGCAACACAAGGTATCACAATGCATGGCAATGCGTCACAAAGCTTTGCCATGCGCTGCCACAGTTATATTAATGTTTTTTTAGAAGAAAGAAAAATGTAAAATCATGAACTGCGATGCGTTCTAACAATGCACTGAAGAGCATGTGCTTGCACACACCACAATATGGTGCACGTGTATGTTATGTGTGTGTGTGTGGGAGTTGTGCTTTTGTGCATTATTTACAAGCACTGGAGTGATCAGAGGATCACTCCAGTGTTTGCTCTGTACAGAGGATCGGTAAATATCACTGATATATCACTCTGTGCATGACCGATCCTCTGCTCGGCCATGCACAGAGCCGCTGTCATCCGTAAAATGACAGGATGACAGCGGCTCCGATCTCCTCACCGCTCAGCCATCCTGACAGATGCGGCTTCTCTCCTCCTCCCCGCCAGCCGCTGCTCGGTCATCC